AGCAACGAACCCCGTCATAACAATATTCAAGTCATTCAACACTACAATCGATCCCTTAAACGAAGGGCCACGGACCCCTTATTTACAGTGACGTCACGGGTTGGTCGTCCCCTGACGGCGTCACGGGTTGGTCGTCCCCTGACGGCGTCACGGGTTGGTCGTCCCCTGACGGCGTCACGGGTTGGTCGTCCCCTGACGACGTCACGGGTTGGTCGTCCCCTGACGACGTCACGGGTTGGTCGTCCCCAGACGACGTCACGGGTTGGTCGTCCCCTGACGACGTCACGGGTTGGTCGTCCCCTGACGACGTCACGGGTTGGTCGTCCCCTGACGACGTCACGGGTTGGTCGTCCTTGGCTGAACAAATTCTTCGCTTTAGTCAAGATGAATAATAATAATATCTTGTTATTACATTTCAGGTATGAGAGTGGGCTTCGTTATAGCAGCGATTACTGTAAGATTTCCAGCTTCACACACGTAAGGTAAGGCATTTATCAGAAGAGTAACTACACAGCATTTGAAAGATATCAGCAGGGATATGAAGGGACGGCGCCCCCCCCCCCGGCCCCTCCCCCCAACACACAGGTAAATTGGAATTGAAAGGGTAAACAAGGACTATTTAACAGGGTTGGTACACGAACAAGGGGACACAGGTGGAAGCCGAGTGCCCAAATGAGCGACAGGGGACATTAACAAAAGCTTTATCAGCGTTCGTTAATAAATGGAATGCATTTGGAAATGATGTGGTGGAGGCAGACTCCACACTCGTTGTCAAATGTAGATATGATAGAGCTCGATAAGTTCAAAAACCCGCACACCAATAGATTGAGAGTTGAGAGGCGGGACCCATGAGACGAAGCTCAACCCCCAACAAGCACAGCAATCGAGAACAGCAATCACACTAAGCAAGATACTATTTGCATTCACGTAATGCATTATATATACAATATTAAATACTACTAAATGTTAATTACCAAGTTAAATATATTCTTCTAAGTTAATTAAACTGTTTAATCTGCACGATTACAGACTTTTCCTTCCTAATAAAAATATAACAATAAAACTCTTGAGAGCTGATGATGAACAAAAGACCATTATTTACTCACAATAAAAGTCATTTTTGAATGATCAATGAAAGTGTCTAAGTTCTCTTGCCGAATCTCCCTTCCCGTTTGTATATTATTTCTTATTGTGTCTTCCCTTCCCTCTCCCAGCACCGAATCACCTTCTGTGGTTGAGTGTTCAATAAACTCTTGAACTATATGTTTAACACATCTCTAACCCTGTCCATGGAGGACAGAAGAAAATGACTATATGCTGGTTAGCATTGTAAATGTGTGGCCACGTCTGTGGTAGAAAATAATAATAATAAAAAAAAATCCCAGTGGGAGGGGAAAACAACAGTCCACAGAAAATCAACAAAATAGTAGAAGTATTAAAGATAAAGTGAAAATTAAAAAAAGATTATAGATACTAAAAAAAAAAAGGGGGAGGTCTATAGTGCTCCTCACCCAATCGTTTCTGTCCCCTCTCCCCATGGCCTGTCATGCAAGGCTGATGAAGCAACATAATGACGGCCCTTCACCTCCCATTACGTAGGCTTCACCTGCCCATAATTATCTGAGGGCCCACCGCCATGTATATATCTTTACAAAAGAATACAAACAGCATATAAACAAATCTATATAAATAACAATGTAAATGTTCGTTTATTGCTGGATAGTTTACCTTAATACATATAACCCTACCAATCCTGCCCTCAAATGTCATCCAATCGTACATTTTTTATAAACAACCAGATTGAAATTCGCGCTCCGTGATTCGGGACCGAGGCATCCTAAGATGGCGGTGGAGAGGAGAGAGTGTGACGAAGGGAAGGAAGGAGCGAGGAAGGGATGGAGATAAAGAAGGAAGAGGGTGAAGGAGGAAGGGGGGATGGAGATAAAGAAGGAAGAGGGTGAAGGAGGAAGGGGGGATGGAGATAAAGAAGGAAGAGGGTGAAGGAGGAAGGGGGGATGGAGATAAAGAAGGAAGAGGGTGAAGGAGGAAGGGGGGATGGAGATAAAGAAGGAAGAGGGTGAAGGAGGAAGGGGGGATGGAGGGAATGGAAGTAAAGCTGCATACTCCAGTATTAGTAGCTGGTGTACGTGTTGAAGACCTAGCCCAAGCGTTCCAGCACCACCACCTCCGGCAAGATGAACCCCTACACACGTACTGTGTGACGGAACACCCGGCGTTCCGTCACGCAGTAACCACCAGGCGGAGGGAAGTAATGTCTGGGAAAAGGGACCAATATAAAACTCACAAAGACGCTCGCTAGAGATAAGAGTGACCATTGTAAAGCTCAGGGTCGGTTATATCTCTTCATTGATGGGCGGTCTGGTCCCCACCACCGCGCGCTCAAGCGGCGGTCTGGTCCCCACCACCGCGCGCTCAAGCGGCGGTCTGGTCCCCACCACCACACGCCCGCGCCCCCACACACGCCCGCGCCCCACACACGCCCGCGCCCAGCACACGCCCGCGCCCCACCACACGCCCGCGCCCCACCACACGCCCGCGCCCCCACACACGCCCGCGCCCCACCACACCCCCCATATACGTTCCTCTCATCTTTCTCAAGGACTTCTTTGCCTTCGATTTCACGCTCGAGAGACACAAGACGCGATGAAGGAATGAAGGGAAATTACACATACGTCCAGCATCCCTCTTCAGGGTCTTCTACGCTAGGAGAGGAGGTCCGGGGGTGGAGTGGGGAGAGAGGGGAGGGAGAGACAGAGGAGGGGGACAGGAAAGAGGAAGGAGGGGAGAACGATGGAGAGAGAAAGGGAAGGGAAATGATGGGGGGGGGAGAGAAAAGGTAGGGACCCAGATACATCCTTATTACATTACACACATTTCGTATCCCCGACAAATCTAATTCTAATTTCAAGAGTAAGTACGATAAATAAGATCTGCAAAAATGAGGCCCCTGGAGCTGAAGCTTATCGTAATGACAAACACAGGTGAACACACACACACACACACACACACACACACACACACACACACACACACACAATGCTAACACGCACGCAATATCTCTTTCGCTCAAACGCACAATAATGACTCGGAAAAATGCCTGATAAAAATGATCTTAACTCACCATCAGTTTGGCGTATGAAGTCACCCCCGGGGCGACTTCCCGCCAAAACCCCAGGGGAGGAGTGAAGCGCGCCATCTATCGACCTGCAGAAGAGACACGGTGTATAAATCCCTGAGTGTGCAGCATATCTGAAACACAAAAGAATGCTGAGCACGGAGTTTGAAATACTGCTGAAGTAGGTTACAAGGAGAAAATGAAGACCCACCATCATGCATACTAAGGAATTACACTGCTCACTCTGGGACAAGCGTGGCGTGTGTCCATGATATGGTGTGAGTCTACAGTCTTTACAGGAAGTGTGCGTGTGCGTGCATGTGTGTGTGTGCGTGTGCGTGCATGTGTGTGTGTGCGTGCGCGTGTGTGTCACTGTTCTTCAAAAAATGAGATTTTTACCCAGCGAGTCGTCACGGCCACACACCAGCCTTGAGCACTGCGGTAACTACACCACCGCACCAAGTGCGATCCCTTGTCAAGCGGTCAGTGGCAAGTCTCTGCAGAGCCCTGCAGAGCTCCCTTGCAGAGCCCTGCAGAGCTCCCTTGCAGAGCCCAGCACAGTAGAGCAGAGCTTCCCCACAAAGAAAGTCGTGCAAAGTGCATCATCTTTCGAGAAAATAAATCTCTTTCACGAGCTGCGGGTCGCCATCCTAAAGAATAAACCCTCTCCACGGTCAAGGAGGAAAGAGGAATACCTCACGGTGGTGTACCAGAGTGCCACGCGTCAATGCCAAAGAACACTTCCCTCCCAGGTTCACCAAGTTGTAATCAGCAAGTAAAAAAAGCAGAGCTTCAAAGGACAGCGAAGCATCAGCCACAAGGAAGGACTTGTACATTGGTTGATTGACACTTGAGAGGAGGGACCAAAGAGCCAGAGCTCAACCCCCAGCAAGCACAGCTAGGTAAATTAGGCAATTAGGTAAGTACACGTCTCTAAAGTGACCGGACACGACAGTCGAGATATCAGAAGGTTGGCATTGTGGAAATATTCCAGGCCAGAAACACACGATAACAGCTGGATCAAAACTCGATACTTGACATTCACGAAACACAAAAGATCTCCACGTGAGGAACACAAATGATGGTCAAGTGGATTAAGGCGTCTTGTACATACCAGTTGCGTTGCTCCTGGGAGTATGGGTTCGAGTCACTTCTGGGGTGTGAGTTTTCAGTTGCATATTGTCCTGGGGACCATTCAGGCTTGTTCGCATTTGTGTTCCTCACGTGTGCCCCAAAGAATGAGGTGATTTGGTAAAATGCTATGCCCAAGATTACTATCCGAGTGCCGGCGGTGGGGTGGTTCAAATAGCCTCGGCTATCACCTCATTATGTCCGGTCGTGATGGTCAAGTGGATTAAGGCGTCTTGTACATACCAGTTGCGTTGCTCCTGGGAGTATGGGTTCGAGTCACTTCTGGGGTGTGAGTTTTCAGTTGCATATTGTCCTGGGGACCATTCAGGCTTGTTCGCATTTGTGTTCCTCACGTGTGCCCCAAAGAATGAGGTGATTTGGTAAAATGCTATGCCCAAGATTACTATCCGAGTGCCGGCGGTGGGGTGGTTCAAATAGCCTCGGCTATCACCTCATTATGTCCGGTCGTGATGGTCAAGTGGATTAAGGCGTCTTGTACATACCAGTTGCGTTGCTCCTGGGAGTATGGGTTCGAGTCACTTCTGGGGTGTGAGTTTTCAGTTATATATATATATATATATATATATATATATATATATATATATATATATATATATATATATATATATATATAATATATATATATATATATATATATATATGAGTTTTTAATGCTGAATAATGTTCGTAACCAAATTAAAGAATACTTGTCGATTGGTCAGTAAGGACACTGATGACCCTGACAACCCCTCCAGAGGCTGACAGACCTATAGACAACCCTCCAGAGGCTGACAGACCTATAGACAACCCTCCAGGGGCTGACAGCCCTATAGACAACCCTCCAGAGGCTGACAGCCCTATAGACAACCCTCCAGAGGCTGACAGACCTATAGACAACCCTCCAGAGGCTGACAGCCCTATAGACAACCCTCCAGAGGCTGACAGCCCTATAGACAACCCTCCAGAGGCTGACAGACCTATAGACAACCCTCCAGAGGCTGACAGCCTTATAGACAACCCTCCAGAGGCTGACAGCCCTATAGACAACCCTCCAGAGGCTGACAGACCTATAGACAACCCTCCAGAGGCTGACAGACCTATAGACAACCCTCCAGAGGCTGACAGCCCTATAGACAACCCTCCAGAGGCTGACAGACCTATAGACAACCCTCCAGAGGCTGACAGACCTATAGACAACCCTCCAGAGGCTGACAGACCTATAGACAACCCTCCAGAGGCTGACAGACCTATAGACAACCCTCCAGAGGCTGACAGACCTATAGACAACCCTCCAGAGGCTGACAGACCTATAGACAACCCTCCAGAGGCTGACAGACCTATAGACAACCCTCCAGAGGCTGACAGACCTATAGACAACCCTCCAGAGGCTGACAGACCTTCAGCCATCACCAAATAAGAAGCAGCAGAGTTCAACAACTGAGCATTACCGTAGTACTACATAAACTACCGTAGCAGTTCATGTAAATACCACGTGGTCGGAGCCACCACCACGTTGTCAAACCAGCACTCCGTCCAGGAACTGCAGACGGCCTTACAGTCGTCTACGGGAGGAGTGCTAAATCTTACCATTGGAGAGGTCGTGGGTGCTGACGTGGGGTGTGTGACGGAGCAACATATTGCTTTGGCCGTCACAATAGTGTAGCACCTCCCTACAAGGACACCTCCTCCAATACCCTTCTGTGGCCTTCACCGTGGAGGGGGACGGCGAGACGCCCTTCGCCAGGCGCGGCTTCAATAAGCCCTTTCCTTTAGTATCGACAATCGCTCCTGGCCGCCGCCAATGCTCATGTGTCTACAAGGGAGAGAAAGCGAAAAAAGAGAGAGAGAGGAAAAAGAGAGAGAGGAAAAAGAGAGAGAGGAAAAAGAGAGAGAGGAAAAAGAGAGAAAGAGCGCGTAGGGGCGGGAGGGAAGGGGATCCAGAGAGCGACACACTTTAATGATATATCTTGACATTCATATAAGCCTTAACGAGACGTCTTTACTACCCTAATACGTCGTATTGTGACGATCAATGTCAAAAATAAAACTATAACTAGCATAAAATGAAACTTGTATCGGGATAATGACAAATGAAACGTTCCTTGGTTTATCCACGGGGATAAAAAAAAATGTTGACGAATAACGAACGTAAATTTATTAATGACAATGGTCAGCGCACGAAGTTAGAGGAGGTCCTCCCCCAAGAGCACCACGAGACGGCAGCAGTAGCCGTCGTTTTATTAACATTTAAACAGTTTCTAAAGAGAACGTAGTCAGTATATCGTACCCCGCCAAACCCACACCGAAACTACGACGTTGGTACAACGTTCGAACAAGTTTTAACACCTCCTAACCAGTTATAACAACCAATATAGCAAGTTGTAACAATGTTCTAATACGTCATAAACACGTTAAGCCAAGATGGAACAACTTTATTACAAGTTGTAACAAGCAGAATATAGAGACAATTACGGTTTGTGTTTCCAGTATAGTACCTGAAAAGGTCTTGGCGTCTGTACGCTCTTCCTCTTCAATAGATTTAGAAGCCTCGACGCCTTCTAAATCTATAGCAGTTATCAGCGAACATCGAATACGTCTTCAAAATCAACATTAGGATATGAACGGCATCCGCAACGGATAGAGCAGATACCGCAAGGAACAAAAGCAAGCAGCAGCAACAACAGCCAAGACTGCAAGGAACAAAAGCCAGCAGCAGCAACAACAGCCAAGACTGCAAGGAACAAAAGCCAGCAGCAGCAACAACAGCCAAGACCACAAGGAACAAAAGCCAGCAACAACAGCAGTCGTCTCCAACACTGCCAAACCCTTATCACGTCCTGTAAAACCCCCTAACATTTTCTTTAAAGGTTTTCGCTGGACAAAGAAATTCTTCAGCCGCCCGGCTCCTATCGTAAAAATGTAGAATTACACAAGAACAAATTAACATTCTATCCACAGGTCCGAGACCGAACTACTATCCCCCTCCCCCCCCCCACTCCCCCACCTCCAGGTGGCTCCTCCCCCCCCCCCCCACCCATTTTCAGATTTCATAGCCCGTACAACATGAGTGGAAAACACGAATTTCGTTCAGACTTCGCACGAAATGCCTGCATCATAAATTCTGGCTCTGGTCCACACGATGCAAATATAAACAAATCTTCGTAACGAGTCGTCTACCACTTTTAAAAGCGTGTATCCTAAAAAAAAAAAAAAAAAAAAAAAAAAAAAGGATACAAGGGGGGTGTCTACAAATTATTAACTCCGTTATAAGCTTTTAATATGTTAAAATAGGGGCGAGTAATTTGTATTTATAGTACCGTAGGTGGGATACCCGGTGGTGCCCGGGTCCCCAGATGGGTGTATATTTATTTTCCTGATTCAGTCTCTCTCTCTCTCTCTCTCTCTGAGAGAGAGAGTTCGCAATTTTTAAAATTCCAAGTTCATTTAATGTGATATTACAAGATTAATGGTGTGGGTTGCGTTCTAACAGTATCACGTCTTATTTCTCTTTGAAGCAAATCCCTACCCGTCCACGTTGGGCACGTACCCACCAGCAATTACAGGGTAAAATTGGGTGAAGCTAGCCCTAACTGTCTGGCTTCCAAACTCGACTAGACAGACAATTTCCACTATTAGATATTGATAAACACTTCATGACCCATATAGTTAACAAATTTGTAACGTGTTATATCTGGTAGCAAAGGAGCCTGACTTGCTTATAATTGATATATATATTATATATATATATATATATATATATATATATATATATATATATATATATATATATATATATATATATATATATATATATATATTGAGATATGGTATATGCAGACAAACAAGACCAATATACCACCCTCGTATACCACTACGATATACCATATAATGCAAATATATCAACCGAATATACCATGCCAATAAACTACGCCCCCATACATCTCCCCCAATATACCTGCCCAAAACAACGTAAGCATTAATGGCTACAATCTTTAATACAACTTTACGAGCGCGCTGACGAATCAACATCCCACAGAGATCTTGGGACGAAATACATCATTGGTCTTCTGTTGTTATAGATTCAGCTACTCGGAACAAGTTCCAAGTACCACGGGCTATGGTGAGTCCGTAACTTACCTGGCACAGGAGCGGGACAAGTAGCACGGGCTATGGTGAGCCCGTAGTGGACTTACCTGGCACAGGAGCGGTGCTGAATAATCCTCATTGGTCGTCAAGAGTCGCTACATAAAGCCCTACGGGTACAAAGTCATTGCCACCCACAATGGTGCACGAAACGTCACACATTAGTTACCAAGAGTGTGGTGAGGAGTTCGTGAGGTTAATGGGACTTTCCCCCGTGTTGTGTTTCCTAATTAGTATTTAATAGTTCAGGAAATATTTTCAGTGTTGAGGTTATTATGAATGTGACTGACGAGGACGTTCAGGATGACGAGGACGGTGAGGGCGTCGAGCGACAAGGACGGTGAGGGCGACGAGCGACGAGGACGGTGAGGGCGTCGAGCGACGAGGACGGTGAGGGCGTCGAGCGACGAGGACGGTGAGGGCGTCGAGCGACGAGGACGGTGAAGGCGTCGAGCGACGAGGACGGTGAGGGCGTCGAGCGACGAGGACGGTGAGGGCGACGAGCGACGAGGACGGTGAGGGCGTCGAGCGACGAGGACGCTGAGGGCGTCAAGTTCAACGAAAAAACATTTTAAATACATTAATCAACAAACAGAACCACTCAAATAGATTTATCAAGAAACAGTTTCACGAGCCAACAGACCATATAAAAAAAAAATCACCTGTAAATAGTTACAACAGAAACTAGATTAATCACGAACCAAGATAACAAGAAACGCGATTAATAAAAAAAAATAGATTAATCGGGGAAACAGATTCACCAGGCAGGGAAAAATGAATCTTAATGACTCCAGACTTTTATCCAGTGAGCACTGTATCCGAGTGACGTCGGTTCGACGTTAATTCATGACGTTGATTTAGCGTTGAATTCCCGTTGCTCTTGGGAACGCAAGACAAAAATAATACGCGAATTATATTGCTCGCTATTAACCCCCCCCCCCCCCCCCCCCCCCAGAATTAAACTTTTATGCCCAGCGCCAGCCACAACAAATCAGTAGTCCTGTCGGGTATATTCTACCTGAGTGCTGCTAAGTTTTAGGGCAGGCTTGAAGGCGGTTGCCACATTATCTAACGACCATAGCTAACTGTCCACTTGGCTTGTTAGACGATTATTTACGCTACTCTTGAATCCTTCAAGATTTGTTGCGGAGTTAATAAGTGTTTTGCGCGCAATTTGTCAAGGAAACTATATTTTGCGCACAATTCGTGGGGAAGGAGGCCTGGTCGACGACCGGGCCGCGGGGACACTAAGCCCCGGAAGCACCTCAAGGTAACCACCTCAAGGTAAGGAGGGGCGGGGGGGGGGGAAGGGGAGGAGTTTAATACACTAATCGTTCAAAAATTTAGGTCCGTACAGAATTTTTCACATTATTTCTAAACTGATTTTAATGTGTAAATTTCGAAGCAGGAAAAGCAGCGAGAATCTACCTAATGATTTTGCAAACAACCTAACCTAACCTAACCTAACCTAACCTAACCTAACCTAATCTAGTTAATGAGCAAAATTATTGGGTAACAATGACTTTTAAACCGGGGGAAAAAAATCCCCCCCCACAGAAATAATTCACATGTACATTATTGCCCAATATCTTCTATATATATATATTATATATTTCATATTAGTCTCTCTACAACCTCCCCCCCCTCCCCCCATTCCGTTTTTAAAATTTTACAATCTTGGAGTGTACTTGAGCAGGAGCTAAAGTTTCCGTCTCGATGTTGTTTGGAGGTCAAGAGCTCAGGCGAGCTCTCCCTCTCCCTCTGTTTCTCCCTCCCGCACTCTCCCTCTCTCACTCCCCCTCCTCTCTACCTGTCTCCCTTCCCCCCCCCCCTCCCTCTCTCTCTCTCTCTCTCTCTCTCTCTCTCTCTCTCTCTCTCTCTCTCTCTCTCTCTCTCTCTCTCTCTCTCTCCCTCCCTCCCTCCCCTTCAACAAAGGCTAGGTTCATTAGAAATTGTGCCGATATTCCTAAAAGAATCTGCAAGCCGAGAGGTATCCTCCAACAGCTCATCTCTAGCTTGACCATAGAAGTTTTATTTCATTAGCATATTAATTATAGCCGCTACAAATAAGCTAAAATTTAATGCTACGAAACAATCACGTCTGTAACAGGACGAAGCAGCAGGTAACAGGACGAAGCAGCAGGTAACAGGACGAAACAGCAGGTGAAGGTTGAAGGGGACGAAGCAGCAGGTGAAGGTTGAAGGGGACGAAGCAGCAGGTGAAGGTTGAAGGGGACGAAGCAGCAGGTGAAGGTTGAAGGGGACGAAGCAGCA